TATCTAGCCTTAAACGATGCCAATAATTCTCAAAATTCAGGCAATTGATACTCAGTTTATGCATTTTATAAAAAATTAATTCTAGTTCTTGTGCAGACTACATATGAGAACTTCAGGTATAGATATGATATGAAGGAGAATCCGTATAACAAAGGATTGATCAATAACATCAAAGAAGTCTTTTTCTCTAAAATCCCACCTTCATCGAATGATTTCCGAGCATATATTCAAGAAGATGATATGGAAATCGCTCAACAAAATGCCATTGGAAGTATCAGTAGTTCAATGGAAAAAATCGATATTGAAATTGGAGTCAATTTTGGTGAGGAGAATGGCCTTTCACTCCCAGAGATTTTACGTAATCTTGAATGTGATGAAATTGAGGATAGTATGAAACAGAGGGATGGGAGCAGAAGAAATGATTCTGATTTGTTGCTTCCCATTGAACAAGAAGGGGAAGACTCCACGATTAGCTCCTCAATCAAAGTCAATGACAATGCAGAGGAGAAACTTGATGGTGCAACAGGACAGGCATAAAAACGAGGTAATATTCTTTTTTCCTCTCTAATATATGACATTTCAGGTTGTGTTTGTCAACGTATTGTCATCACCACTGAAAGCAAAAAATAAAACACGAAAAGTTTTTCCACCCAGATTTAGTGACAACTAATGATTGCATGCTATTCCATCATTAAGAGCATGTTAGCATCAACTTCGATCTTTTTCATAAGTATCTGAAACTTTAACTTGCACCTGATGTTTCATGAATCGAGCAATTTTTCTGCTGAAAGAAATAGCAGTAGCAGAAATGTAAACGACTCATGGTTTTAGCATAATTTGTCTTGCCAGTTTGTAGCCATTTCTTCATATCATTTCTCAATAAATATCTTGCGAGTTGGGGGTTCCACGTAGATACTGGTGTTAGTGCTTTTCATTGATATGATTGAATTATAGCCCCTTTACTGGATCTAACTTACAGTACGGTTTTCCGGGACCTCCAAAGACAGGTACCTATGACTTCCTTAAAAATTTTATCAGCAAAATAATCTAAGCCGTCTATTTTGGCATTGTAGGGTAGCTGTTACAATCACATTAACTAGAACTTATCCTTAAAATCGACTTGTAATAGGTGCCCAAGTGATTATTGGTCTACTAACTGAATCTTAATTTGGCGTTTTGGCACAAAATTAGAATCGAATTAGAATCGTTACATTTCACTCGTTTTCCATGCTCCATATTCCAACTAGTCCTCCATTAGAAGTAGCCCGCCTATATCGCCCGTTAGCTATATTTGTAGATACCAATTATCACCACCACGTTAATTATAACTCACCTTCAAAACTGACCTATAATAGAAAGCTGTCCAAGTCGGCATAATTGCACAAGTATGACCCTTCCTAAGATTTCGAGCACTCTGTATAAAATCTATAAGAAGTTATAAGTTCACAAGTATGACCTGCCCTAAGATTTCGAGCTCTTTGTATAAAATCTATAAGAATGCTGCCCTTTCAATTAATTAAGAAATAATCATAAAGAAGGAAAAAATAGTAAAGCTATTATATTGCTCCCATTTGGCGAGAAAAACTTAGATGGGACAGTCGCACCATCTTACGCTGTGATACCGTCAAATGAGGAGCCATGGCCTCATAGGTGACCCAACATCATCCAATGAGGTGAAACCACCTTGGGACTTGATTTTTTCTCTCTTTTCTATTTCGAGTCTTGAGGTGGTCTTACCTCATGGGATGAAGATGGGCCTCCCGATGAGTTGGTGACTCTCCATTCGACAGTCGCACCGTCCCAAAAAAGTTTTTCTTCCATTTGGCTCCTTTTTTCTTTCAATTTTTTTTCTCACTTTTATTTCAAATCACACAATCTTCCATAAATTTATATTACACACAAATAGAAAATTTTTCCGACTTCTTTAGCTACACATTCTTCAAAATAGAAAAAAAAA